GAAACTGTACTTCCGATTTGATTTGAAACTGTCTCATTGCTATATGTTTATCAATAAAACTAGAAAAAAAAAGAAAAAAAAAAAGAATTTGTTTCTCTTTTAAAAATGATAAAAATAACTTCTACGCATAATAATTAAATACATAATAACTCAAACATATTTTGGAGATGGGAAATTTTTACTATATTGGCACTTTTTTTTTTGACACTTTCTATTCTGTAGGAAGATAATATAGATTTTTGGGGGGGAGGGACCGACCAGGGATTGGACTCAGGGTCTTCTCACTTAGCTACATTCCCAGAGTCCCTCATTCTCCTTTATTTATTTATTTTTATGTTGAGATAGGGTCTTGCTAAGTCATTAAATTGCCCAGGCTGGGTTTAAACCTAGGCTCCACCTGCCTCTGTCCCCCCAATGGTACTGGAATTATAGAGGTGACACCCCCCCCCACACCTGGCTTAATGTGCTGTTTGAAAGTGAGTAAATAATCTGGAACAGATAACAAATTAAAGAGAAGAAATGCTAGAAAAAGGATGACGAACACACACATACACGCACACGTACAACACACACACACTTTAAAGAAGACTGAGCTCGGGTAAAGGCAAAGTAGCAATGCTGAGAATTATAGTACTTTGAGGTTATTTGAAATGATAAAAGTAATTTTTCAGAACATGTAGTTGGTTAAACTAAGAGTACATTTGAAATACATAGCTGAATTTAAAATACTCAGTGTTAGAAATAAAGTAAAATTCACAAAGGGCTTATTCATACCAAGACATAGTACAGTAAAACACCAGAGCACAACATGATTTGTGATTTAGATTTTAAAAGAAAGACAAGTGAAAGCAAAGAAACACTTCAGTAACCTATTATTGCCAAGTAGTGCGGTCTCATGAAGCTGTCTCTGTGGTATCTTCATGCCCATATTTCCTTCTTAGAAAAAGAAGAGGTGGTTGAGGAGAAGAAAGCTGCTGAATGGAGGAAGAGGAGGAGGAGGAGGAGGAGTAAGAGGAGGAGGAGGA